CTTTTCCTGCAAATCCTGCAAACCGTGAAGCATCTGGAACGTAACTCCTATTCATAAGATTCACATATGTATATACATTTCATCTTCCAACTCCAAGGGGTCCGCCGAATTTCGTAATTCCCTCCTTGCTTTAGCCAACTCTACTAATCTATTAGCTTCCATATCATCTTCCTAATCACTAAACCATATTTCAGCTGTATGAATTTTTTAAATTTTATAATAAGGGCCTGTGCCAATCGGTAACTTTTTTCTCCGTGGTGAGACGGGGTGGAAAAATTTGCTATGGTGTACAAATAAATTGAATTTTGCTGTGCCAAATGCAAAGTAAAATTTTGACAGTTGAAAAACCAAACAAACGCTCTTGCGAAAGCTTTACTTTTGTGTGTTGCTGAAATTCTTAAAATTTATATTTATTTTATAATTTGCAAGTAACGTACGCTTTTTTATGCTGTTTCAGCTTTCATTTTCATGTTCACTCCTTATTACCGCCAAGCAATATTATGTGTATACATGGTTATAAGCTGTCAAAATTTTACCTAGCCCCATGAGCTAGGTAAAATTCTGACGTTCTTATTCACCACGAGAAATGTCAGATTTTTACTTTGATCCGTCAAAATTTTCTCTTTTCTATCATTTGGCACAGGCCCTTAAAGCAATTATTTAAAAACTGATGTAAATGAAACGCTAACGAAATAAATGTAAACAAACAAACAGCTGTTTACAATTCAATCAACCATTCACAATAGTACAAATTTTTATCGATCAAGTTACACAATAGCAAAATAAAAGATGATCGACTCGGTCGAGAAATTTCTATTCTACTGCCAGTCGACACTCGCAATATGGGCCATTGTTTCTTTAAAATTGCTTCAAATAAATCGTCTTTATGTTATATGTGCATTTATTTAAATAGATGTCATCTCATAAATATAATTTTTCCCCATTTAATTAGTTAGTTTCTTTAATTTCTTTATCCTCGTGCTAGTAATATAAAGTTAGTGATACTGAGCTCGATAACCAAAGAAACCACGGCTATTGTCGCAAGTGTAATCGAAAAGAGAGTGTGGGTCGTTCATCATGGTGAAATGAACTGCAGGTGGCGCATTTCCGAAACCGCTACTTTGGTTTTGCCGACTTTGACATTTATGGCAATACGTAAACAAACTTTTTGTTTAGAAACAAGTGCAAACGTATTGCAAACGTATTGTGTACTTTCAAGTGAAAAATCGAAGTAATTCGTGCGTTCTGAAGTAAAAAAAGTTTTATTTGTAATAAAAACTTTTTAAAAATGTCGTGCCGTGTGTTGAATTGCAGCAGCCGTAGGGGTAAAGCCCCCAAATGCAGTTTTTTTTGTCCCCCGCGACGACGCCTTGGCCAGAAAGTGGGCCGCAGGAGAAGCCATACAATTTAGACACCCGCGTAATATGCATGAAGCACTTTACGGACCACTTTTAAACACGACATGTTAAGTTGAAAACGTTGAAATACCACAAATTACAAATTAAAATTGGAGGTAAGCAAGCATCGACCACTTTCTGCAGGAAAACATGCGCTGCGACAAGATATTATCACTTTTTCGGCACCTGCAATACAAACACAAAAATTCTAAATAGTTAATTAATAAGACCTATTCTTTTGAACACATTTCAAGAGTGGTTGTACATTTTTTGTTAACGTTGTTAATTTGCTATATTCAAGGATGGCTTGAGAAATTGGTGAATCAAGAAGAAAACACGTTTTCTCACTGCAAATTCACAACTGTCAACTCATTCTTCTTCGCCATATTCTTTGTTTACCCGTTGCCACAAATGTCATTCTGCGGGAATGCGCAATCTTGTATTCTATCGTTCTTGGTCGTTCATGAAACAGAATGCGTAAACGTATAAGATTATCTGCTTGATAAAGTTATCGGTTTAGATGACTACCACTAATAAAAAATGCCGAAAATTTGCAGAAAATCTATATCAATACAGTTAGGGAATGAAATTCATTCTTTTTATTCGCATATAATTTCTTTCATTTATTTTCATTACTTCATCATATATTTTAGTATAAAAATTTCGGCTCGCGGCAACACTGAAGTTTACGAGGTCGTTTGCGCATCACATTGCCTCGTAAATTTACGAGGGGCTCGTAAATAGAGCTCCATAAAAATTTTGATAGTTCTTTTACGAGGCTCGTAAATTTACGAGGTGTACGAGCTTAAGGGAAGACCCCTACTTAATTATTGTGAGCGATATTCTTATTAGCTCTGATCCAGTACTCCATGAACTTACAAGATTTAACACGAACTTGCAGAAAGTTGCAGGAAAAATGTTCCCGTACTCCAAAATCCTGTAAATGAGAGCGACTTTTGGAGAGTTGTGTAGAGAATGAAGTTGCAAGATTTTACCCGAACTTTTTCTTCTGGTAAAATCATGAAAAGTGTCAAGCAATCACTGGTTGACGTTTTTACAGGAAAAATGTTTGTTTTGTTCCCGTACTTTTTGCTTTTACTCTCTTTTTACTCTCACTTCAAAGAGGAATTTTGCTGTTTGACAGTTTTACAGGATTTTTCACGAAAAGTATTGGATCAGAGCTATTAATGCCCTTGGATGTGAATATATTTCAAAAAAGAAGAAGCATAACCTAATCATAGGCATGATGCAATAATACAAGGTGGTATCAGTTGTGACATCTCGATTTGACACTGCCTTAGCTCAGTAGAATGAGAAGAAAAACGGGAAGAAATGAATGAATAAATATGGGGCAAAAATATAAAATTTCACATTTTCTCCTTAACAAAATTTGCTTTTTTATAGTATATTCGTT